CATTAAAATAATATAGAACATTCATCCATTCAATCCTTCATGGCAAGGATAACTAAGCTGAATAGTGAATAAAGTGATATGTGAAAAGTAAAATGACAGTGAAATTAAATGACAGTGCGTTCCTTACCACTGCGATCTGGCTCCTCTGTCCTCGTATCTTTTGGGTCTGATTCCTCACTACTGATGTCTGCCTCTGCATGGGCCCTCTCTCCTTATTTATTCTGTCTCAGTCACCACTGCTATCTGGCTCCTCTGTCCTCTTGACTTGTGGTTCTGCAGGCTTAGTTCGACCTATGAATTTCAACAATGCTCCTGTAAAATATATAGATATATAGTATTATGGGTCAACATTAAAATAACATACACTGGAGAGCAAAATGTGAAATGCCATTGACTGTAGGCTACATATTATCCACACAATTGTCAGCAGGGGCAATAACAACTAAAATGTGAACTAACTTGAATGCATTAGTCCACAACACATAGCCTAACGTAGAGTAGAGAATGAATGAATGGTTTCTACAAAATACACAGAAATAGAAATAAGGTTCAAATTACAATAACTAACCAGACGATGGTTATTAATAATAAGCAACAGCAATACTAATTGTTGCTAAAACACATTAGACACGTTGCAAACACACGGCTAATAAAAGCTAAGTTAGCATCTCATCCACACACTATCATAGCTTAACTTAGCTAACTAGCTAGCATTAGCTCAATTCCTGAACAACATAGAAACTAAAAACGGGACATCAAGACTCATTAACACACTGACTGAGCAGGACACTATGCATACAATCTTATAACATTACCAACACTAAAGATCTGCATATATGCTCACATTCTTCACGAACGCATTCTCTCTGTGACGATGGTAATTATGCATGTGACGATGCGCAATAATGTCCTGAACGCACATGTGTAACCAGCTCGAAGACCCGTAGCTGAACTACTTTAGCTGTCCAAAATGTGCCTGACTAAAACACGAACGATATAATGCAGATCAAGGAGAACAAGGGGAATTTACAAGACATAGACTAACTGTGGTTACATTACTTAACTAGCTCATCATCGTCACCAGTCAGAAAATGTCCGTTAGCCGTGGGGCTAGTTTTCGCTATGTTAAACTCCATTGACTTATGCTAAAATGTTAGCGATCTAAAGGTCCGCTATTTTTGGCTGTTTTGGGTCGACTTCAGTTGACTGTAACATCGAAAATCTTCGAAATTGAATGTTCACAAAGCTGCGGACCGGTTATACACTCATACGAGGGAACTAACATAGCTAATTTAACTAACGTTAGCTAATGTAGCTGGTGTAGTGCCGAGAGACGGGACATACGGATTAAGCAACTAGACTACTTATAGTGTACATGCAGAATTATTTCAATTTAAAATAGTTTTAAATGCTCACACACATACCTGACTCTGGTGCTGTATTTTCCTCTCGTTTCTTTTTAATTTTCCGTTTCGAAGCACCTGATGAATGCTTTCTCTTTGACACTCAGCGACAGAATCAACAGACAGAGGCAGCAACGCAGATTTGAATCTGCCAATCAGATCAATCTATTGCTGGAGAGGGGGGGGCTCCCCGAAATCAGCCGGAAGTGGCGCATTCGAATACTGTTTGGGCTGTCTGCCGTGGGTGCGTTCCACTCCAAATAGCCGGTCGGCCGTAATATATGCATAGATATATATGCGTGCATATATTCATATATATATATGAATATATATATGCACGCATATATGAATATATATATGCGTGCATATATGCATATATATATGCGTGCATATATGTGTGTGTCTATATATATTTATAAACTGTATATTATTTTCCATCATTCAATGGACAATTTGTACTTTTTTTATATGTAGGCTACCATCAAACATATGTTCATATATAAAGTGGGTAACTATACAAAACGAAGTGAGATAACTGTTTATGAATATCTGTTCAATTTTATGTAAACTCATGAAAGATAAATGAGTGTTTCAATAAAACTATTACATATAAATGTATAGTGCAGTTTTTGTTTTCATTGCAATTTTTTTTTTTTATATGTATCAATATATAGCCATACATGGTCCATGCATATATTGCAATATATTTAAAAATATAAGGACTACTTTCCCATATATGGAAATGTATGATCCAATATATTGTATTATATTTACCAATATATTACAATATATTTTTGTTTCATAAGGGACAGCTTTGTAACTGAGTTAATGCAGCCTGAGCAACTTGCGTACAATAACAAAACAAGCCGAGCACGAGTGGTGGTGGAGAACGCTTTTGGCAGACTGAAGGGCAGGTGGCGGTGCTTGATGAAAAGAAACGATTGCAAGATGGACAAGATCAAAATCCAGGTGGCAGCATGTTGCATATTACATAACCTTTGTGAAAGTAATGATGAGTACAGGGACGAATGGACTGCCTTACCGGCGACCCAGCTTTATGAGGCATCTGAACAGCATGTAAATTGTACATTGTAAACATTTTGACAATAAAGCTGATCTTTTGTACAGTGCTTTTGTTTCTCTCTTTTATTTTCCAGTCAAGACAGGCAACATTAAAATAGTGTACAGCAGTGGCGAGCCGTCAGGGCCCTCTAGGCCCTCTGTGAGGGCCTAAGATATTCTTAAAAATAATATTTAAAAACATTTAAAAAATATATATTTTTTTTAAATATATATTTTTTTAATATTATTTTTGTTATATTTTTCATTAGTTTTACCGAAAAAAAACTTGATATAATTGTATTTAAAATAACATTTCCAAAGAAATAAATCCTTCGAATCTGCCTGTTCAGTCTCTGTTGAATGTGAAGGGTTACATGAAAGAAGCTCGTCTGGCCCTCTCTGCGATTCACAGAGGGCCCGCTATAGTAACTGAACGAGAGAGTAATGTCAAATGACAGTACAATTGACCAATCATATCTTCCCTCTAAATGGGTGGGTTTTATTATCGCGGACTTTATGACAAGTTCCGCCCGCTGTGAAACTTTTCTTGTTTCCATAGCAACAACAACTTCCTGTCAACAGCGTGAACTCGCCTTCAAAATAAAAGCATGCCAAATTACACTTAAGACATACAACTGCAACGAAAGTAACAAACACAATGCAATATCATTTTCAATGTCAAAGAACACAAATTGGGTTCACAGGTGTTGTTTTGTGTGGTAGAGGGTCGCTGTCATTGATGCGTTTTGCACCCTGGGCCATTGTTTTGATATTCCGCTGAAGTATACGCTGTGACGTAATAACTCTTTTTTTTTCTTTTTTTCGAGGGAATTGGTGGGGGTCAGAGGGCCTAGGTATAAAGCTCACGGCTCGCCACTGGTGTACAGTGTGGCAATATAATAACAATAAACTGTGCCAGGTGTGTTGTATGCACAGTAAATAGGCTCAGCAGCAAACCCACCTTTATTATTTATTATATATCTTCCTGAGACCCACTGCATCCGTCTGCCATAAACACTATGGAAACCTACATGTTAGTTTCGGCCCATAGTGGACTCCATTTTGTGTTGTGTAAAATGGGGGGGGGAATTAAAAGTTTGCAAATCCCCATGTCCTCCTCAGAGGACAATCATAAAAACATTTAGTTTTAGGTCAAATAATATTTAAAATTATATAAATTATCATATTTGTGTATGTGCCCCTGCCATTCCTCCACAAGATTGCAACATTGATGATAAATAAATGACAAATAAAGCTTCGCCAGTTTATAACCGATGAAACATGATGGTATCAGAATAATCACTTACATGTGATGTATAGGATGCTACACAGGTCACTACAGATAAAGTGTCAGGAGAAATAAGCAAGATACAGGATCTGTTTAACAGTAAATAGAAGTTCACATTTTTAATGTAAATAAAATAGAAGTTGTACATGTAAATTAACATTATCAATATAAAATAAAGTGTCAGTTGTATCAAGACTATATAATAATAGTAATAACAATAATATAAAATGAACTGGTGAGCATCTTGTCCTCCGTTTCCTGGGCCTTGGTGAACAGCACCATCTGATCCCCGTGCATCGACTCTTTCACCACGGCACGCCGGTCCTCCAACGCCTGGACGGTGTCAAAGAAATTCGCATCCCGTGTCCGCTTTCCTAAGAGGGGAAAATAAGCAAGATACAAGATCTGTTTAGTCGCCATGTAGTTTTACAACATACTAGTGTGTGTGTGTGTGTGTGTGTGTGTGTGTGTAGCTGCCGCTCAAAGTGCCCTTCTTTATTGTTTTGTATTTTTGAAGAGTGCTTCATGTATGCTTGAACTTTGTTTAATGTTGTTGAGGCAAGTTTTCTTACCGGAAGTCATGTGACTTCTAGCCCGGATGTTTACAATGTTTGTGAGAGAGTAAAAAGGCGCGAACATTTGTAAATGCCGGTCTAGGCGAATACGTTTTCACGCTGTTTCATAATTGTACCAAGAAGGAAATAAACATGATTGTGAACATCAGTTCGATGCGTAACGTTCTTTCAAGACAAAGTTACAGTGTGTGTACCTTTGCGTTTGGTTGCTGGTAAGGGGGATGACCAAGCGCTGTGATCTAGAATGCAAAGCTCGCTTGTTTCCAATCCCGAGAGTTGTCCATCCTCGCCTGAAACAGACGATTAGTGCCATGAGTTAGTGAAGCAAATTACAGAAACACTGCACAGTTATTCACAAGTCAAAACGTTTTCATAGCGGCCGAGACTATCTAGCTAGCTAGATGTAGCTAGCTCGGGGCCGGTGTTACACAGTAAATTCGCCAGTGTGAAAATCCTGGCTTTTCGGGGTAAAGTGTTGTGGCTTTGGTGTTACATTTAACATGATTAACACCGCCTGTTGTTAAAACACTATATAGTACAGGGTTGGATCATGGTGTTAAACATATTTAACGACGGATAGTGTGTTCTCTCAATCTGGGTACTTTTACGTGATGTGCGTGAAATTATTTAGATCTCCGCCATCTTTTTGATGCAACCATCAGTCTCGAGAGACCGCAGTCCGTGACGGTAAGTTATCGCTACGTTTCATAATTTGTTCCCCAGATAGCTTACATTGATTTTGCTTGAAAATACAGTTATGTGTGTGGTAGGTAGCGTAATTGTAAATGTATTGTTTTTATTACTAGCTTGCTAATTATTACTATTTGACTGTCATGACCAGGTGCAGGTGCACAGACCATACAGTCAATGCTTGCTTGCTAAACTAACTGTCGAATTAGATATGTATGTCGAATTAACATTAGATATGTAACAGAAAATGTAATCATTACGAAGACCAATATATTGCACATGTCTATCGTTAGTTCGACAGCGAGCTAACAAGCTCTAGTGTCCGTAAAAAAGTTGTTCGATAATTGCCGCCTTTTCCTTTTCTAGCATGTTCTCCGTCAAGTCTCCGTCTAACGGAAGCAGTCCGTCTTGCAGCAAGTGTGATCGCTTGGCCTCGCCCTCGACAGACTGCAGTCAGTGAGTGACGGTAAGTTATCTAGATAACGTTACATTTAATTTGTTCCCCTGTTATCTAACATTACTTAATTTGAAAATAACGTTACAGTTGTGTAGTTGCTAATAATGTTTACTAGCTTGCTAAGAATATTTGTCTGTACTGGCCGTGCACCTGCTTGCTAAACGTTAGCTAGCTGGCTAGTTAGCTACCCGGTTAGTTAGTTAGCTAGCTGGCTAGCTGTCGAATTAGACACAGATGTCAAATTAGATAACATTAGCTATGTTACATACTATTATGTCATTACAAAACATGTATTGCACATGTCTAACGATAGTTCGACAGCTAGCTAGCTAAGAGGTTCTGGTGTCGGTCCTTATCGGTATAGTTAGCCGACTTCGCGAACAACCTTTTTTTTTCCTATTTCCTTTCACTAGCACTATCTCAGTGTCACCTAAGCAGCCATCAGTCCCCGCAGGTTTCGACCATGTGGTCTCGACAGACCGCGTGACTGTAAGTTATCTACGTTTCATTGAATTTGTTCCCCAAGTGAAATAATTTATGTGTATGTACAGTAATAAAGTTGTTGGCTAATTGGCTCCTTTTCCTTTCTAGCACGTGTTCTTCTGCTCCGTGCGGAAGCAGCCATCTTGTGTGGCCTCGACAACGACTGCATGCAGTGAGTTTTTCTTGTCACACAGAACGATTTTTTTTCTCTTGGAAGACCAGAAGCTGTGTGTTTCATAAACACATTTTCTTACTCAATATCTTACCCTTAACCCTTTTATTTTAAATAGTATAATGTCGGAGAAAAAGAAATGGCTCAGAATACTGAAATCTGTATTTTTTGTCATCCTTTTTTCCTTCTAATTTGTTATTATTTGGTGCAGGCACGAAACATACTACCAATAGAAATACATTGCTTCTAAAATCGTTCTGTGTCAGAATACTGAAATCTGTATTTTTTTTTAAATCTCTTTTTCCTTCTAATTTGTTATTATTTACATTGCTTTTAAAATCGTTCTGTGTGACACGTGTTGGTGAACACGAATCAATAGATTACTTTTTTGACTATAACACGAAATGCCGTGACACTGGGTTGCAACACACCAACACTGTGCATAATTTGTTCCCGAAACGTATGTCATGCACAGATAGAAGCCTCTCAGCTTAAAGATACAAAAATAAAAGAACAGAGCATAAAGTAGAATTTATTTATCTAAAGACAGTTCCAATTTATATTATGCCACCCTTACACAATTTGAGTATTTGCTTGCTTAAGAAGGGGAAGTTGTGATGCATCATGTGAAAAATCTAATAACTTGTGGAATAACAAATGTTGTATCTCCATTTTACCCATAAAGGGCTCTTGCTCTTCTCTTCAGCTGAAGATGATAGTCAAAGTGCAATACCGAAACCAAAAGAAGTACATCAAAATTCCAGAAGCTTGTTTTGACATCTTCATCACTGAAGGCAAGTAAACCACTTTACTGCATATGAATCAGAATACCTTTATTAGTCCCACAGAGGGGAATTTTGCGATCCACCCTCATTAACCTACTGTTACATTAGATGGACATGATGCACTATTGAGGCAGTTTCCCCCCCCCCCTGTGTGTGTGTGTGTGTGTGTGTGTGTGTGTGTGGTTTAAGCTTATATTTGGTCTTCAATCCTTTTAGTAAAAGAGAGGTTTTCCATCCCTGTGGACAACATCTTATCAGTGGAGGATGACACTTGCACAGAAGTGGACGACTACGCATTTCCAGATCTACTGACTACCAGTGGAATATGCTTTGTCATCAAAGATGAACTGAATGACAGTGGTGGTGAGTGACGACAATAGACCCTTTTCTCAGCAGCTATTTTGACGTCATAGCAGGGTAAACACAGGTGTAATAGATCAAATGAATTATGGCCCCGATCTATTTAGTGTGTCACAGCCATTCCAGTCAGACAGCATATTATCAGGGCCCTGGCCTGCCTACATCCTAAATTACATCTCTGTTTATGCAGCATGTCAACATGGCTGCTGAGAAAAGGGTCTATTTTACATTTCTCAATTGTATTGTATGCTGATTATCCCCATGCAAGTGTCAAGCACACCACACATTTCATTGCTATAAACAATACTATCTTAAAAGGTAAAGTATTGTTTATAGGAATCAAATGTGTGGTGTGATTGACACGTGCATGGGTAAAGGCATCCTCAACTGATTTAGTGAAAATACATAATTTTGTACTTACTTGGGGGTCTTGTTGAAAGCCTTGTTCTTAAGCTTTCGCTAGACTAAAAACCACCATTGCTGTCTAAGTATTGGTCCCAAGTAGAGTGCGCTCTTGTGGACAACGACTTTGGGACTCATACTTGCGATGGAGGTTTTCAGTGGGTTTGTTGTCTTTTTGAGAACACTTCACCAGTAGATTACATAAAGACATGACAAAGGAAGACCATATAATTTCAATATTCATATTTAATATCTCTTGTGTGATGACATTATTTTCCAGAGCCATCCTCATCCTCCGCTTCAGGCACAGATACTCTTTCAGTCACTTCGAAAAGCAGCAGTGAAAACAATTTCTACAGTGGCACTCTAAAACGCTTCAGAAAAGAGGAGGAGGCTTTGCAGGGTCCACAAGCCAAAAATGTGAGTTACATTTTAGTGACGTCTGTCCATCCGTGTGTCTGTACCAGTAGATTGCTCATAAACCTATACTGCTTACTTAACGGGTGTCATTTTTGTTGTGTTTTATTTTAAGCTGATAAAACAGGTTCTGCTGACCAAACCAGGAGGAAGTGATGTGCTGAAGGAGTATGAGGAAAAAGGAACAATTAGTCCTGCCACAAGAAAAGTGATGGTGAACATTCTAGTTGCAGACATGGTGCAGAGTGAGGGGTAAGATTCAAATTTGTTATAGCTTTGCATGAATGTGTCATGTATGTATAGGTTAAGTGTGGATGAAGTTGGTGCAATTGTATTTCTACATAAATTGAGTTCATTAAGTTTATATGTTCTAAAACGAAGTCTCAGTGGCGTTTTTATATGTACAAAAGTGGTGGGGCACAAAAACCGTAGATGTTTATATATATATATATATATATATATATGTGCAGTGAGGTTCATGGCTGGTGAGGCACTGGCACTGACTCATCAGGTTTACAAATATTATATTTTGACCTAAATCAAAATATAATATTATTTTCAAAAGCTTTTTTAGTCTGATGCTTCGATTAATTTTAAACAGACAGTTCAACAAAAGGATACCCAAAAAATGTAATTTTACCATTTAAATATTGAATTGTTCTCTCTTAGTAAGATCCCATTTTCAATAAAATTGTGGTCTTACCTTGACTTGAAGATGAAGTCCATTTGCCTATCCTTCTGGACAAAAATCTCTATTACTTTTTTGTAAAAGTCCTCCTTATCTTCTTGTAGTTTCAAAAGTCTATCATATATCTAATCGATAGATTTATGATAAAAAAATTATAAAAGTAGGGTAGACATGTGGATATTATCCGGCTGAACAAAACGTGCATTTATCTAACAGGTACGTTTCCCACAGATCTTATTTCGAGCTATTTTCTAAAATCCTCTGGAGAAATCTCATTGCTTTTTTGTCGAGGGAAGCCATGCGCAGCTTACTTCCGGGTTTTAGGACGCGTCACTGCACCTCTCTCATCTCCTCTTCACACACCACACTTTTTGTGGCACACGTACTTACAGCCAATCAGCTCTGAATTATGTGAGATGACGTATGGTGGGGATGGCAGCTCAGTGCCCCTATGGTCATTATTTTTTTGCCACACACATTAAATGGGAAAATACTCTGAGCATGCGCAGTGTAGTTTTTACAGTCACCGTAGACAGTGAGAGGGAGGGGCATGATCGGGTTTTGTCCCACATGGCTCAAAACGGCTCAATAGGCACACACTGTAGACACTAATTAGAAGAACACAGACAATGTACAGACAAATCAGATGATTAAACATGATCTTAAAATGTATTTATTTATTTATTTTATTTTTTTGTAATCATTATTTTTAATACTTTCTGCTGACACTAGGTGGGGCTGTGCCCCTAATGACCAGTCGCCACTGCTCTTAGACTTAAATGAATGAAATGTTGAAAATGACTTTTTGCTCTACAGGAGAATCCCTCGGCGACTGACCAAAGAGAAGTATGCACTGGGGATTGTTACCCTGTTTCCCTCGCTCCAAGATCCACATGGGAAGACAGGATATGTGAGTTATTCTTGATTATGATCAAAGTAGACTGTTTTAGATGTCTTACATGGTTCCTTGAATGCTGTGGGATTTATACTGTAGGGTAGTTTAACTCATTTGGGCGGCTGTGGCTCAGGAGGTAGAGCAGATAGTCCAATGACTGCAAGGTTGGTGGTTCAAATCCCAGCTCCTCCTGTCCACATGTCAAAGTGTCCTTAGGCAAGTGTAACACTGAACCCCGATTTGCTCCCAATGAGCAGGCCTGCACCTTGCATGGCAGCTGCCGCCATTGGTTATGTGAATGTTTGTGTCAATGGGTGAATTGTCAATTTTATCCAAAGCGCTATATACAGTAAGTGCAGTCCATGTACCATTCCTCTTATTTCCTTTTTGGTCAGGAGCATTTTTATGACGGGCAGAAAGGCAGTGGGTTTCTAGCGTGGCGACTGAAGTCCGTTCAGAGAGCAACACGACTTCCTGTGAGGTCCAAGGATTCCAGAATAGAAGAGAATGGAGGCCCCATGCTAAGGAGAGAGATAGGCCACTGTGATGATCATCCAGATGAGCAGAGATTTCAAGAGCTCATATCTGTGATGAATCATACAAACGACAGAGAAGTCATCATGAAGAAGATGAGAGACACACTGGAATATAGACAGCGCCTTGTCCACGATCCTGACAGATCCTCCACTGTCCTTTCAGTATTCCCGCGCCTGCTGGACACTAAAGGATTGGTAATATTTTATTTGTTGCTTATTATGAATGTTATTTATTAGTAAATCTATTTTGATAGACGTTTTAAAGCAACCTTCAGTTAAATGGAGATGATCTACACCTGTGAAATTGGCATTAGTAGTAAATTGAAAACCTGATGGTGGTTCTTGTGTTTGTGCTGTATATGTGTTTTAGTTTCTCCAAGACTTCAGTCTCCTCTTTGGGTCAGAAACTCCATCCAAACTACTGGAAATGTGGCCAACCTCCTTCAAAGCAAAGGTCATCCAACAGGCAGAAATGCTGACTTCCACACCCTTGCTGAAGCGCTTGTTGTTGTCTGCCAAGAACCAAAGGGGTGATGAACCATCACTGGAATCACCAGGTATGGTTTTAGGAACTGCATTGTCATATCATGTCATATTGCCTATTGTAAATTGTCTTTGTGAGGCTGGAGGGAGTGTATGACCACACAGTTGGAGAATTTTTTTATACAGTCTATGGTTGCTACAAAGGATTGTGGGTAATGTCCGTCAAACTTCCGGGTTCCT